CTACCATCCATCCATCCATCCATCCATCCATCCATCCATCCATCCATCCATCCATCCATCCATCCATCCATCCATCCATCCATCCATTCATCCATCCACCCATCCATTCATCCATTATCTTTTACACGCTTCTTCCATTTTGGGTCATGGGCGTCACCAGTGCCCATATCCAGCAATCACTGTGCGAGAGGCGGGGGACACCATGGACAGGTCTCCAGTCCATCACAGGGACACAAAGTCAAATGAGACAAACAACCATTCACTCTCTCACCTAGGGACAATTTAGAGTTACCAATCAGCCTAACATGCATGTTTTTGTCTGTGGGAGGAAACCCACACATGCACAGAGAGAACATGCAAACTCCACCCAGAAAGGCCCCAGGACTGGGATTTGAACCGGGGACCTGCTCGCTGAGAGGCAGCAGCTCTACCAACTGATCCACCAGCGTGCTGCCCATGAGTCTTAAATGCATTAATATGAATTTTAAAACACAACCATTAAAAGAAATCAAAGACGTTAATCTGATGTTTTGGAAGAGTTTAGTTTTGCGTAATTGTGAGATGCGGGTACGCACTGAATGTAAACAAAGCACTCGAAGTTTGAGTCGTGGGGCTGTTTTACATCCGCGGTGGTTCGAGCAACAAATGTGAAGTTTGAGGGCGATTAGGTGGAAACACAACGCCCGAGAAAAGAGAAAAACCGAAGAATGAAAATTGTGAATCGAGTACGTTTGCAGCTTCGATCTAAGCCGTGTGTTTATCTGCACGATTTACTCCACAAGTCCGAGCAGAAACACCAGGAGATCAAACTGACGAGATCGCTGCCTCCCAAACGGCTCCTCCATTGTTGACCTATTTTCAGCCACTTCAGCTGTTTCCATGTAAACAAACACACGTGGAAGTTCAGGCTTTGTCTGAACATATTTCATCTAAGAACACTGAAACCATATGAGAAGAATTTGTTTTCATTTTTGACTCATCTTAATGATCATCATCATAATAACAAATAACTTCAAGATAAAACAAAAGTAACACTCAGCTGCATCAATGTTGGATTTTATCAAACATAAGATAAAATGTCAGGTTTTAAAATGACAGATTTTGGGCTTTTAAAGTGAAATAAAAATATGATCAATGTTTAAACCCAAAGTGGAGCAAACATTCATAAACCAGTCAGGTGTGGATGAATCCAGTTTATAAGGCTGGTTTTAATCCCTCTAAAAACATTTATAATATTGTTTTAGCTTTAAAGTTTGACAAAGATCCACATTTTTCAGTATTGTCTTATTTCAGCTCCTTGTTGTGAACTTTAAAGGGACATCTTTTAAATCCAGAATATCCTGCTTCATTTCCTTTAAAACTTTGAAACAAACTCTTTTAGACTGTAAAGATGTAAAATAATAAAAAAAGTGTTGCTCATCGAGGTGCGACGCTTTAAAAGGAATTCTTCATTAAATCATGTGGCGTGTTCAGTTTATACATTTTGTCCTACAGGATGTCCAAGTGTGGTTTGTTTTTTTGTTCACTCCTGTCGAACAGGAAGTCCTTTAAAGCAACAAGAACAGCAGCCCTGTCATCATGCACCGCTTCAGGATATTTTCATAAGCTTGCTCTTTATTTATAAAGAATGAGAATGTTCAGTTTCTCCCTCTCTGTCTCTCAGTCGACAGATCAGGGGTTTCACCCGATATGGATATTGTAATGTTTGAAACGCACCCTGGAGCTTCTTGTTGTGGTTTCCAAAGCCCAACCGCCATATTGAATCAGAGATGTCTGATATGAATCACCCAAATTTAATAAAGATGCACCAAACAGAACAAGCACACAAAGTGTGATGCTAAAAGCATCATTGTGTCTTATTAAAGGCTTTATTTGAGCAGAAATCAGTGCATCTTTTCCCTGACGTCATTCTGCTCTGATGGAGACGGATTTGATTTGATAGTGTTTAACCTCCTGGGTGTCTCTGATGCAAAGAGTTTCTCTCGTTGGTCTTGCAGGGGACAGAATAAGCTTTTAAGGCGGAAACAAAAAGTAAAACAAGGATCAAAACTCTGATTTAAATCATGGTAACTGCATCATATTGAAATGATGCTTATAGGTCATTTTGTCTCGTTCCTCAAGTTTTGACCCAAGTTGTTTAATCCAGTCATCTTCAGTTGATTGCTATGTTGTACAAAAACAAGATGATCTTTTAGCTGTAAAAAATAAAAAAATATAAAACGTCCCAGAAGATTCAAAAAATAAAAATATGGCTTATGCATCAGTCCTATTATTAGTAAATTGGTCTACCTGTTATGAAAGTATCCAACTAAGCTCAGTCAGGTCATCTGGACGTTTTTTTTCTTTCTTGAGATGTTTTGTCCTTCATCCAAAGGACTTCGTCAGTCCGAGGAGCCACAAACAAACTCAGTCCCACAAGCAGCACACTGCCACAGTGGACCAACCAGTTTGCTGGAAGTAAGTGATATGAAAGTAAGTTTAACATTTAATTAAACGGATTTCCTTTCAAAATTAGTCAAATAATTAACACGTTTAATGCAAAAGTCCATACGTGCACATCGTTTCCTGCATGATCAATAAATTTACATCTTATCTCTTATAAAATGTTATCTAAACTTTTTGAACTTCTTTAACGTACCAGTAATTGAAAATGTTGAAACAATCTAATGGTGAAGAAGTTGCCAAGTTTTATATGGTCTGATGACATAAAACTCTCAGTAAAATGGACTTTATGCAGTAAATTTGAGCTCAAAAGCAGCAAAACTAAAAATTATTTCAAAAAGTCTGCGGGAAGCTCTGAAACAACTGGGATCAAAAAGATGTGAAACCAGAAGAACACTCAAAATGTACGTCTCCAGATCCAACATGTGCTACAATAAAAAGAAGAAAAAGGTTAAGCAATGATTTGCGTAAATCAAACATCTTTTTTAGGAACAGAACATTGCAGCTGAGCACGGTGGTGGCAGTGTAATGATGCGGGGTTATAAGACTTTAACATGTTACAAATTTATCATTTAGATCCTGTTAAAGAGCAGTTCAAAACTTTTCGATGCTTTCTGTCCGAATGATTCTGCTTCTAAACATTTATACATTTATTTTTTGACAGATTAAGTTAAAATCTTTTGATTTTTGTTGCCAGAAAAACTTGCTCTTTTCTCCTTTAAACGTTTATTTGT